GTTAGTTAACATAAAAGCAGCAGATGATCAAAGGAGAATTAAACTTTATGTGTGAAAATTCTCTGTAAACTATATTTATCAAGCCTTCGCGAATACATTAAACTATATCAAAATGCTGAAAATCACAAACAGCCATGAATGATCATTCCTTTGCATGATCAGTTGGGGGCACTAAATGCACACAACCCATTAACATGACCTGTGGGGACAAAACTACAAAGTCTGAGACAAGAAACTTCCTTCTGCAATTATGGGAATGATTTGCATGATAATAATTTGAAAGCACTGATTGTGGAGAAGAACAAGATTGCCAGAAGATGTCAGAGGGGACAAGGGATGCTAAATTACCCTGCACTAACTCACTGCATCACCTATAGAGAAGTCTACCTCTTGCTATGCCATCAGTACAATGGAGACAATGATCTCTATGGCCTCTGACCTCCAGAGCTTAGAAAGGGTCAGGCAATGTTTGCTAATCACTATGAAGCTGCAGAAGTGGCAAATGTAGTTATGATGAATGACACACCAGGAAGAAAGAGGGAACAGTTTCTTCTGGCCTTATCTCTCAGTACAGTCACCAACACAAAGAGTCAAATCAGTTTGCCCAGTGCCCAGCTGTGACACATGGAATGCTTCCACAGAACAGATGAAAAGGAAGAAGAGTCCCATTACATCTATGGCATGTTTCCAAGAAACCCAGATTCCCAAAGATTTTGAGCAAGGTTCTTTCCATGATAGAGAAACACAGAATATGCAAGAAAACAACTACCACTGGGCTAATGAGCTCCACTGGACAGGAGCAAACCATAAAATGGACAGGGTTTTATTCACAGTTAAATATCTTGGATAATTTGTTACATAGAAAACTTGACTTGCTGTGCTTCTCAAATCCCTGTTCTTCACATTCTAAACTATTTTTCATGTGGGTGCCAGTGGATGTTTTATGATCTGGACTCTAGTGGATTAATCTGCATTTCCTGCACTGTACAGTGTTCCTCCATAACTGTCTCTCATTTTCTTGCTGACAGTTCAGTACTCTTAACTGAGCCTTTCCCAGTGAACAGTCACCTTGTTGTTTTCCCAAATTCTGCAACCAGGATTTTTAGCCATGAACATTTCAGCTCTTATAGTCCAAATTTAAAAGCAGGAGGAAGCTGGCATCTATTTTTCTTGGATGCAAGGAAATGAGTCTCAGAGATACAGTACATAGTCTGCATGCAATAGCCTAACTACCACCCACCACCTGCACCAGTTGAATCCATGGCACTCCACACTGGGCTGAGAATGAGAGAGAGAAGGATGTAGCACAGAACGCTGTGAAGGTTATTCATAATGTTCTTTTTCTCCAGTCTTTACCAGAAACTGCCAATTTCTACCCCTGGACTTGAATGAAACTGAAGAAGCCTTATATCTGCCCTTAGCTAAATTTGCGACCCATACTGTCCACAAGAATGAAGGCTACTGCCTTTCTAATCATTTCCTAGGTGGTGCTGTGCAGCAGGGCTTATCAAACAGAATGTATGCAGCCACAGCTGTTAGAGAAAAGCAATAGTAATGACAGGCAATCATGGTTTACAAATGGGCTGTGAACCAGAAAGACTGAGACCCCACTATTGTGGTAAGGTGTTTATCAATTCCACATGACAAAAATTCCATCTTAAAGGGAATGTATCAAGAGGTATTTACACCAAGAGCAAGGGAATTGTTTAGTGCTGGATAGATTGACAGTCACCTCAATCCAGGCTCCTCCCAGCCACACTTTCTACAGGCAACATGAAAGGTTGTAAAAAAAAACTCCAACACAAACCACCTAATGATCTTGAGAAATGCAAATCTTCCTTGCTACTCACCTTTAGAGGAGAAGGGAAAATAAGTTTTGCATTTATTTCTAATGATTGCAAACCAACTCAGTTCATCAGTTTTAGCTTTGAGGGCTAAAAAAAAGCCTTTTAAAAGCACTGCTCATGTGTTAGCAACAATTAAAAATAAATGCAACACAACTTCTCCTTTGCCCACCAAAGACAAGTAGTAAGGAAGCTTTCTAAGGATTTTTAAATGAGTTCAGCAAAAAGGCAACCAGCCAGCTCTGTTTCCATTCAATCTCAGCGAACACACATGCTGGAGCTGACCCAAAATGGAGCAAACCTACCCATACCTTAAAAAGGTGTAGCCTGTGACAGGGAGCCAAGAAGGTTTGGATAGAAATGTTCTGGGGACAAGCTGGTTTGCTCTGGTACATCTGTTGAGCAGGCATCAGGAAAAGGAACATACCAGCCCATCCCCAGAGCAGACAAAACTGCAGGGTAAAATCCCTGTGTGGTCGCACTCTGAATGGTCCAAGGTTACAGACTATGTTTCATGGCCTGAATAAACTAGAATCTGGATCTCTCTAAGCTCTTGTCCAGCACTCCCACTGCCACAGCACAGTGGGTTATTTTAGACTTGCTTATTTTATAAGAATAATTGCTGCACAACTGTTGTCTATCTTGCTTATTGGTAAAACTAATTTTGTAGTATTAACAGCTACCAACATGAATTTGACCCAACTCCGGGAGGCAGTGGAAGACAGGAGGGCCTGGCATGCTCTGGTCCATGGGATCACGAAGAGTCAGACACGACTAAACGACTAAACAACTAAACAACATTGTTGTTTTAAGTGCCCTGTGCATTTTTATTGAACAACAATTTAATAACAGAGATTTCTTCCCACCTGTTCATATTCAGTTTCAAACATTTCTCTCAACACCTCCTACACAAAAATAGAATTTGCTACAGCTAGATTTGCTTTAGGGTACAGAAAACATAATCGTTATTCAAAGCAACTCTCAAAAGCATTATACTTAGAATACACACACCCTGCAATTAAATTCTTAATCACAACCTCACCAAAGGCAAAGAGATATATCATTATGTTTCTTTGCTTAGAGGGTAGAAGAATTTGTCTTTTTATAGGGCAGGTTTTATTTTTTTTTCACTGCAGGAATGGACACAGTTCAGTGGCAGAATATTTGTTTTGTGTGCAGAAAGTCCTAGTTTCAATCTCCACTGTTGCCAGGTGAGTTTAAGAACGAAAATTTCTTGCCTGTAACTCTGGTGAGTTGCTATTAGTCTGAGCAGAGAACACTAAGTTACTATATATGGATCAACAGTCTGATCCAGTATAAGTATCTTCCTATGATTCTTTGATTAAGGGTTCAATGATACAAGGAGGTTGGTGCAGACTGATTTGGAGCTTTATGTCCCTCAAAGTTTCCATTGCTGAAACTGCTGTTATCATTCACACAGGAAATGATTATCCCCTGGTAGCCGCATAGCAAGAATTCACACTGTGTCTAAAATCGTTGTAATAATCAGCTGAAGCAAAGCCTTCCACCCAACATTGCCCTCTTCCCTGCCCATTCATCCTTCTCCTTCCTCTGTGGGCATATTTAATTTTTTTAAAAATTGACATATTGAGCTAAGCTGACACAACAATCTGTTTTAAAAAAGAGAGGTGGGTAGGTGTGACAACCCCAGACCTACTGGAGTATGCCACACTCTAGTTATGCTGCCACCAACCATTCCCTATAAGAAGTCACACAGACCAGGAATGGATTTTACTAAACAAAAGAACAAGGTTTATTTAAATAACAAACAGGGTAAATAAAAAGATCAGGTAAATAAGATACTGTAACGTGGCTTAGTCTCAATCATACATACAACAGTTTGGTTCACACAGAACACTTTAAAGTAAAGCACAGACCCTGAACCTATCAGTTCTGGCTACCTATAAAGAAACCTGAACCTATCAGGTATGTACTAACTGACACACAGTTGTACTCAGTCTGACACACAGACTCCCACTCCTCAACTCCTCACACAAGCTCCCAAATATATACAGTACAGCTCCTCCCCCTGATGTCCCGCCTTCCACTCTCCATAGGATGGAACTTTCCCTCCAAACCCATGACAGACAGGTACCATCAGTGCTGTATGTAACAGTAGGTATGGAAAGCCTCTTGGCAAGAGGAAACAGCTGAATATAGAAGAGGAGAGGGTAACCCAAGCTGAGTGATAGGCAATGGCTCTGGCTATGTGGGTGCTCCATCTCCTTCCAACCAACCCCACTGATAGCCCTTCTCCACTGCGCTATATTGGGATGGGAGATTGCAAACACCAGAAAATGGAGAAAAGCCATTCCAGCTGAACTGGAACAAAATAAACCAACTCCTGATGGTTAAAAATATGGAAACGATTTCCCATGGGAAATTGAGCTTGCCTATACAGTACTTAGGGCTGGGGGGATGTGGTGGCGCTGCGGGTTAAACCGCAGAAGCCTCTGTGCTGCAAGTTTGGAAGACCAACCGTCATAAGATAAATCCATGCGATGGAGTAAGCTCCTCTTGCTTGTCCCAGCTCCTGCCAACCTAGCAGTTCGAAAGCATGTTAAAATGCAAGTAAATAAATAGGTACCACCATGGTGGGAAGGTAATGGTGTTCGGTGTCTAGTTGCGCTAGCCACATAACCACGGAAACTGTCTACAGACAAAACACTGTCTCTATGGCCTGGAAACGGGGATGAGCGCCGCGCCCTAGAGTCGGACACGACTGGACTAAATTTCAAGGGGAACCTTTACTTTTACCTTATACTTAGGGCTTCCCTATTGGGCTTCCCTATACTTAGCTTTCCATCATGTAATCACCAATAAATACTTTAATTTTAACCTTGTCAGCCTCAATACAAACTGCAGGGTAAATTGCCAGTGTAATCCCACCTTGAAGCCGACTATTACACCCTGCTGGTGGACACCACTGACATATAAAAAGATGTGAAGATGTGAAATGTCATTTAGAAATCATATTAATGTAGCTATCTATTTTCCAACAAGTAAATAATGATGTTGTCTTGTTTTGTTTCTTAAACAAGGTACACAATAAACAAGTAACAAGGGGACAGACCCTGCAGTGATACAAAAATCTCCAGGTGATCGAAAGGTGACAACAAAGAATTTTGTGCTTACCTTGGCAGTGGCTTCGATTCAACCTTTTGTAACCCTGTGGGCATTCAACTTGCCCATTTTCAATCATTGGCTGAGCTAGGTGGGTATGAAAAACAAAAAGAAAGTTGCATCAAGGGTGTAAAGTGCATGCTTCTCTTTTCTGTTTCTTTATATGAAGAAACACAGTGTTCTTTAATTTTCAATTATATTTTTAATAAGCTTCACCTTCATTTCACCTCAGTACATCACCACTCACTTAACAATGGCACATTTAAAGTAGATGGAGCACATTTAAATAATGTACCCTTCATGTCTACTACTAGAATAATTATGGTTTTTGTATTTAGTCAATATGATACGATTTTTAATTATCGTCAATATGATACGATAATATATAATAATCATGTACCATCAATTCAATGGTGCATTATTGTTTTCCAAACAGAGAATACTCGGAAGTGGTTTACCATTCCCTTCTTCTGGGTACATCTTGAGACTGTATACCTTGCCCAAGGCCACACAGGCTGGCTCTACTTGCAGGAGGTCTATAAGGAGCTGAACTTCCAATAAAGCACTGAGCTTTCCAGTTGCAATAATCTTTAATCCTATCAAACTTTCTGCAATTGATTATAGAAATGGATCATTTTGCAAATTGAAAAGCCTTAATTGTTGCAATAGCCCCAATTTCTTCATTATTCTCAATGAATGGAAGCTGTGAATGACATCTGGTCTTCAGGAGTTGTTCAAGGTGGATTTTTTGTGCACAACAAATACAAAAATGTTATTCACTTCTGCAAAAAGGCTGTATGGGCATCAGATTTCCCACCACTCAACTCATAAGATTATACCACTAGCAAAACATTATTGGCTTTGATCCGCCACTATTTTCAAACAGGAGGACAATATTATCTTTGTCCTTCCTTCATGAGTTGCAATATCAATCTGTGTGGAAGTTCACCAGGAGTGAAAACAATGGTTTATTTATAACCTCTAAAGAAGCAAAATTAAATGCCACACTTTTGGTGAGCTTGGTAGGAATCCTGATGACTTTGGTGAGGCAAATAAGAAGATATAGCATACAATGAGTCACCAGGCCATACTGATAAGACAATATTTGTGACAAGTGATCACATTCTTATCCCATGCTTCTGCGGCCCACAAACCTCTGAAAAGTTTAAAAATTACTGTTGTTGATATAAGATTGAACACTACCCCCACCCACTGAACATTACTACCCAAACATGGAAGCATAGTACATCAGAGACAGCCAACTGTGACCCTCCAGATATGGTCAAAAAATAGCTCTCATCAGTTCCAACCAATATAAACAGTGGTGGTGGCTCATGGGAGTTGCAGTTCAATAACATCTTCAGGGCCACAAGTTGCCCACTGCTGGGGCTACCAACTCTATAACAAACTTGAAGATTTGGAGGAACAGCTTCTCTTCACAATTTACGTTGATTTGTCTTTACAGCAGAGCTCATGAAATGGTTCTTAGTAAAAAAAATAAATGAACAAGTAACCTTGGGCTTCATATTCTAGAAGCTCCAATAACTGAAATGCATGAGGCAGATATAATAGTGCCATTTTCTCCTGGGATAGAAATAATAAGGATCTGAATGAGACCATTATTTAAAAGTGATCCAAAACACATTTATTATTCTAAGCCCACATCAAAGCTGAATTATTTGTTAAGAACAGAGGATGGCATTACTCACACCTGAAACTTGTTTTGTGGCTGAGATTTTTTGAAAAAGAAAAAGAAACAGCATTGTTTATTCACCACAAAAAATCCTTACATTTGTTCCTAATAAACAACACTATTTTAGAACACTTAACTTTGCCCCATAGATGACCAAAGTACATTTGCTTCATGGGTCTTAATATGGATTTCATCAAGATTGTTACTATTTCTGCATTTAATTATAATACAACAAAAGAAGGATTGACATTACTAGTCAGGAGGATATGAGACAGCTGGCTCCTTAAAATATGAGCTTTGCTTAAAGAGCTATAAACCATTTTTAAAAATATGAACTGTACCCTTAATTAAAAGAGAGATGGCTAACATTTCAACATTAGTGGGTCTCTGCTTTTAAAAGTTGGGGGTTGTTGGCAGGTGTAGCTTGCCAGGTCTCTGTGCTACAAGTATTGGGAAAGCTGCACACCTGCCAGAATTCCCTCATCTATGCAACATTTAAAGGCACAGGAAATCTAGGTTGATGGACTGGTCATCCCAGTAGCAAGATTTTCTGTAAAATTGATGGCATACATTTTCTGGGATAACTCAAGTGGACCTTAAAACAAAATGTTGTGGCATTGGGTTTTATTGCTGAGTGTGACATATGCTCTTCTCCAAGATATTGCATTCCATTTCCCACTCTCCAATTTTCTGCTCTACACACACATGTACACACACATCAGCGCTACACTCTTATACTATATAGTCCTCAATGGGCTAATTTTGCAGGTCCCACCTTAAGTTAAAAAAACAAAACACCTTCTGGAAACCTTGGAGTTACTCCAGACCTAGTGACATCTTTTTTTAGCACACAGATGGTGTCATTTCAGCAATATACGCATCCATATGAACTTTATAGATAGGAAGGATTATTTTCCTTTTGTTCCCATATAATGAAAGAAGGTTAATCAACATGTTTCCCTATAATGTTCTGGTGTTTTACATCAAAAACCTTTAACAGGTTGGACACTGATGCTTGTTTCCAGACTTGGACTGTAAGCCGTGAATGGATTCCACCTGTACTTTCCCAGATATTTGTTTTCCTTCTGGATTATTCAAAGTCCAATCTCCTCTTCTACTTAGTAGAAAGGTAGATTTGGTACATACCGTATTTTTTGCACCATAAGACGCACTTTCCCCCCTCCAAAATGTGGGTGGGGAAGTCAGTGCGTCTAATGGTGTGAATGCAGCAATTTCGTCGCTGCTGGCCCCATGGGGGGGAGCGTCGCAAGGGTCCGGGTGAGCCTTCCAGGACCCTTGCGAGGCTCCCCCACCCCCCCACGGGGCCAGCACCGGAGAAATCGCCAGCTTCCAGGTGGGGGGAACGTCGCAAGGGTCCTGGAAGCTCACTCAGATCCTTGCGACGCTCCTCCCACCCACGCACGGGCCAGCACTGGCAAAATCGCCAGGTTCTGGGAGTGTTTTGAGGCTTCCCAAGCCTCAAAACACTCCCAGAAGCTGGCGATTTTACTGGTGCTGGCCCATGCAGTGGTGGGAGTGTCACAAGGGTCCTGGAAGGCTCACCCGGACCCTTGCAACGTTCCCCCCATCTGGAAGCTGGTGATTTCGCCGGCGCTGGCCCCATGGGGGGTGGGAGAGCCTCGCAAGGGTCCTGGAAGGCTGACCCGGACCCTTGCAACGTTCCCCCCATCTGGAAGCTGGTGATTTCGCCGGCGCTGGCCCCATGGGGGGTGGGAGAGCCTCGCAAGGGTCCTGGAAGGCTCACCCGGACCCTTGCGACGCTCACCCCCATGGGGACAGCGGCGACGAAATTGCTGCCTTCGGTCCATAAGACGCATGGACGTTCCTCCCCACATTTTGGAGGGAAAAAGTGTGTCTTATGGAGCAAAAAATACGGTAGTTCCTGTGGGAACTAATTGTGACAACCCCAGACCTACTGGAGTATACCACCCTTTAACTAAGCTGCCACCAACCATTCCCTATAAGGAGTCACACAGACCAGGAATGGATTTTTAACAAACAAAAGAACAAGGTTTATTTAAATAACAAACAGGGTAAATAAAAAGATCAAGTAACTAAGATACTGTAACGTGGCAAAGTCCCAAACATATACATATAACAGTTTGGTTCACACAGAACACTTTAAAGTAAAGCACAGACCCTGAACCTATCAGTTCTGGCTACCTATAAAGAATCCTATACGTTCCCTTTCAAATGGAGGATATTTCCTCCTTTTCTTTTCCTCTAAAAATACAAGCTGAAATCTAGTTCCAACTTACTACTGAATCAATGGAACTTACATTGTTGATTCATGAAATTTCCACTGATTCAATGGGCCTACTTCTGTATGATAAATGTGTTTATAATCTATTAATTTATTCAATAAATTAATAGTATATATTATAGATATTATCTATAATGCATGTGAATTTCGAAAAATGAGGGTTCATGATGGAACAGCAAAACTGGATCCATCACTTTATTAGATAATTTATCCATGAACAGTCTCACAACCTTCATTTTATCAATGTCCACCATTGATAGCTGTTCTTTTTGAAGTCACTGAACTTTCTACAAGAGGTAGAATCTAGTTTAAGGTCTGATGCAGATATTTCCATAATAGAGTTTTCACAATTGTCCTGATCTTCACCATTGCATCTCATCTATGAAAGGGGCAATGAACCCATGCTCTTCTTGATGCTGTTAAAATACAATAATCATCATCTCCTAACCATCGGCCATGCTGGCAGGGTCTATTAGGAGTCATAACTGAACAATATCTGGAGGCCACAAATTTGTGGAAGATAACGCTAAGCTTTTTCATGCATTACTAGTCAAGGAAACTTCAAAAGACTTATACATAGGTTGTAATCTACAATGATCCTACATGTGTGCAAATAAATGCATGTATACATCAAGTGCCTATCGTGGAAAGCTACAGGCAGTCTTTTTTCTAGATTGTGGACTTTATACACATGCAAGACTATCATATATGGAAGATGACATGCAGGACTCCATATTTTCCAACACACAGGGGACCTCTATATAGGAAACTGGTAGTACATACATGTAAGGGAAGCTCTAACACCAGAGCAAATATCCCACTTTTGGCAGTTTAAAGAAAATCCATCTGTCTATCATCCCAGAGACAATTCAGATGTTTTTACTTATATTTTCCCTGGCCATTCCTCCTATCTTCCCCATCTTACTGATTTAGCAAGTGACTAGGCATTGGAAGTGAAGTTACTACTTCCTTATTCCTGGACTGGGCAGGCTATCTATTTCAGTTTGTAACTGCCTCCCAACAGATCACAGTGTTACTGGGAAACAGCACTCATTTGTACAAGAGAGGAAGCCAGTGTAAGTCACACTCTTGCAAGCATTGCATACATGC